GTCAGTGGTCACCGGATAGGGTCGCATACAGTATGGTCCATGCTAACTTAGCACGTCTGTATTTTCTCCTTGCAATTTAGTGATAAAAAACACAGTGAATATACCTTTTCACTTTTTGAAGCACACATAACACTCGGATTTAAATCCGAGGTTTTCGCATTTATTTTTTGTTAGATTCCATCTTCTTATGAATAATTTATTGTAACAAAAAAAAAAATCTTTTTGTGTAGATCATTAAAAGATATTGATCATTTCATAATAAAAATAAGAAAGAAAATTTACGCATTTTCACAACGAAAACAAAGATATAGCTTGTTTAATGATTTTAAAACTAATTGAAGCTTGTTTAATTGAATAAAAAATAACTATATATTTTCTCTTGTTTTGAATATTCAATTGAAATTTTTGTCCGATAGAAGTTAAATCGATAAATTCTATCTAATCATGTGTGACAAATCGAAAAGTAGACTTTCGGATAATTCTATGCACATATACATATGTTCGATTTAATTTAATTTATAAAATCAATGTTATCAGAAAATGTTGTACTTATTCTGTTTATTTTAATTGTAAAAAATATTGTTTCAATTGGAAATCTTTTTTTTTTCTTTCACTTAGCATTTAGAATCAATATTCAATAATGTTGAACTAATTAAAAATGATAAAGAAATATTCAAAGTTGAGTTGAACATAAAGCAACAGTTGTTAAAATAAAATCCATTGATATACAAAAAAAAAAAAGGTATTTCAATCAACATGAAAACATGTTGAGAAAATCGATATTTTAATTCGAAATAATATTAATCAAATACAAATACCATTTTATCATATATTTAGTTTTAGATCTTTTCGAAAGAACAAGCAATGTTTTATATTATTTTAGATATTGATTATACATTTGGTGTTTTTCTATGAATATCAAAATGAAAATTGTTGTTTCATTTGATTACTTTTATAATTAATTCTTCTTTATTTTTTTTCACCATTTAATAATGTTTGTCTTACAGAAGTTAGTCAATTTGAAGCAATATTAATTACTAATGTTAAATAATTTTTCGAACAAGATTAATTCAAGAAAAATATTACTCTTTTTTTAATTTAGGCAGGATGTGGGGTTGGTTATACATCTAAAGTATAAGCACATGCACACGCTCGATTAGCTGGAATTAGAATAGACAAAATTAGCATTACTTTATAATGATTATCTATTCACTTGATTTAGATATTGTAAGGTTTATACAAGCCATGAAAAAAAAATCTCCTCCATAAAGGCTAATTCGAAGAATAGTAGCAGTTCTCGCTCAGACATACTGTATACTTGGCATATCACTATTTTATATATTGAAATTTATTCATAGAACGTATGTAAACATTATTAAATGTTTATAATGTATTCATGGATGTAACTGATAAATACAATTAAATGCAAAAAAAAAAAAATAAGCATTGCAATTGATTAAATGTTCGTAGAAGAAAGTTTGTGTATGTCTGCTATGCCGTGAGGGATGCTTCAAGTCTCGGATTGTTCAGTAATACTAGAAAATTAAGGGTCAATTATAATTTGATTCTTACGAGATCCGTGTCAAGACCACCTGAGAAATGTATAAGGTGTGTTAGTTGTCTAATACAAGTTATCGTAAAAAGAATTTCATTAAGAGTACGGTTCAGGTCTGGGTGTAAAGTTTTTGACACGACGACTTATGTTGCAATTTGCCGAACTTGTAGAAAACGCGTTCGGAACTTTTTTTTATCTGTTTGAGTATTATATTCTGTAAGTTTTATAGTGTTCTGTTTAATATCATATTACTCTTATTTCAAATAGTTGAACGTAATTTATAGTGTAAAAATCTTGAAATAAAACATTCATTCGAAGACAGCTGGCTACACCCAGAAGCTGTTAGTAAAAATCAGACTTTTACTTATATTTTCAAATATGTATTCAGAGTTTCATTGTAAGATAAGATTGAACAACTATCATAAGATTGTTTCAAAATAATGATTGTAGAGAATAATATTTTGGTAAATTTTTTGTATTTCCATTGAAATTTATATTTTTAACTTTTGTATTCTTAAAAGCAACTTTTTGAAACAGTGAGTTTTTTGACTAATGTCGATTTCCATATAAACTAACTCTTCAGTAGAAACGTATAGGATTTTAGTGATTTTGTTTTTTTAATCATCGAAAAATGAGAAAATATGCTGTGCTAAGACTTTCGCGTTATAGGTTAAATAAATTAAGCTACATATTCTCTCGGTGATTGCCGAATTAATCGATTCAATCATCTTATGACTTGAGAGTTAAAAGTGTTGGTTGAAGTGGATCTTCTTCTGAATTACTATTAGACTACTAGAACTCAAATTGATGGTAAGATAATTAAGAAATATCGAATTAAACGTAGTAAGCTATGAATTTTCAATAATAGAAAGTCATAGTCTTGTATTCTAATGAGACTATAAGCCAAAAATACTCTTTTAATGCCATCCTTTCTTTCGAAATTCGTCTATTCACATGCATACTTTTTGAACTTCTTCTACATTTTCAATATAATGACCTGTTAATCATTATATTGTATAGTTCATACTAATAAATACAGTTCAAAAAGCAATCTACAATAATTAATCAAAGATCCGTTTTGTATTGCCATCTGTCGAATGAATTGTTACGTATTTTATTGGTTTCTTTAATGTACACCTGCAGATACACGTAACTTGTTTTTTTTTTCATTTCGTCTTTTTTACTTCATTTCAACCGTTCCAGTTAACTTGACAGTTAGAAAGTTGTTCTTTCTACATCTGTGTTTTTTCTTCGTTAATTGATTTTCTCAGATAAATCTTTTGTACTACATTTGTGATAATATTCTTTTTCTTTACATTGACAAATACAATGTCTTCCTCATTAACTTCTGACACTTCCAATCTTTATCAACGTAATATTGAGCGTGACTTAAATACAAAGGCAACTCGATTATTAAAAAAAGAAAATACTGCTGGTGCTGTACCAACAACTGAAGATGATGAAATGGAACCATTACCATCACAACCAAGTGGTGCAAATATTATAGTTGAACACCCAACAATTCAAACATTTACGCGATATTCTGATCAATTATTAAGTGGTTTTGATCCACGCTGGCGTAACTGGATAATACGTGGTATATTTTCATTTATAATGATTATTGGATTTGTTAAATTAATAAATATGGGAGCACATGTTGTTTCATTAGTTATACTTCTTATACAAATAAAATGTTTTCAAGAAATTATTAATATTGGTTATGTTGTTTATAAATCCCATAATTTACCATGGTTTCGTACATTATCATGGTATTTTTTATTTACATCAAATTATTGGCTTTATGGTGAAAGTTTAATACATCATTTTGGATTTTTAATGAATAAAAATAATTTTCTTCAACCACTTGTTACATATCATCGTATGATTGCATTTCTTTTATATACAAGTGGTTTTGTTGGTTTTGTATTAAGTTTAAAAAAAACTTATTATCTTAAACAATTTACTTTATTTGGATATACACATATTACATTAATGATTCTTGTTACAACAAGTCATCAAATGATACAAAATATTTGTGAAGGTATATTTAAGTTAAATATAAAAATTAGAAAAAAAAAAACATATTAGATTTGATTGCTTTTTAATTATATCTATTACTATTGTGAAAATATTTTTGTTAGAAGATTGTATTCAAATTTTTAGAACAAAGTTTGACTTTTGTTCTAGGATAGTGTAAATATTTGTATTTAGTGTCAGTTCTTATGAATTATTTTTAGTAAAATGATTCAACATTTTTGTATATTAATTCAACGTGGCATATAATATGAATCATACTGAGTCACATGAAGTTTCTTAATTCTATTTGAATATTTTTGTTTTTTTGTAGATGTTTGATTTGAAATGAGAAGATTATTAAGATGTTGATTATGAATCTATGTGACTAATATTTTCTAACTCAATCTAAATAATATCTTTTGTAAAACTTAAAATTAACATATTGCATTTCGAGATAAAAACTGTTTAACCTTTTCTATCTGTTGCGTTATTTTTTGCTTATAGAAATTATCTATTTCAAGTAGAGATGCACGAGACCAAAATTTGAAGATATGCCAAGGTCAGAAGAAAAAAAAAGTTGTCTTAATCGAAACTAAATATTATAGTTAAATTAGAAAGACCTCATGCATACTACATGGTCGTTTATTTTACTTATCAGAAGCAAGGTTTTTTGCGATGTTGAGAAAATAATCAAAAACATGCTTAGAACACTTACATCCAAAATTTCAACCCGAGTTATTTCGATAGGTAACTGGGTGTGCAGTGTGTGTATGTGTTACTTCATGACCTCGAATACAATCGTACTGTACACTTATCCGCACTCTGACATTTGAACCGTGCACACACATTGAATATTATATACAGATATTCTATGATTTCAAGGCTCTTCCATTCCTCAAAGATCGATCTTAGACCGAGTATATTCAAATCGTATGAATTTTTTAAGGATATATTGCATCTCTAGTGAAAAGACTATGACAAAGTTTTCCGTCCGATGTCATTACGTATTCGGAAGATATTTAATAAAAAAAAATGGTCTAAAATAGCTCGTTTGGCAACTCGAGATTCTCTGTGGATCTTCATTCCAGACGAACTATCGAA